ATAGAGTAGCACTTAGAAAAAAATCTGCAACATTAAAAGAAACTGTACAATATTTTCCCTCATGAAAAAATATTTGGAATTACATTTCTTGCCTATCTGATAACAAAAATAAAATGAGAGCACAAAAGATGTTTTTCTTTTTATTATATAAATGTGAAAATAAAGGAATTACCAAAAATAAAACCAAGATAGATTTGAAAATAAGCTTGACAGAATTTAAATATAATAAAAATTCAGATATATAATTGCAATTTTCATTTGTACATTAGTTTTTACTTTAAATATCATTCAGTATATATGAATAATCTACAAATAATTTTTTTTTAATCCATGGATCTGGAATTTTTTTATTTTTAATAAATTAAGAAGATTCAAAACATGGAATTTGATAAAGATTAAATGATTAATCCTTAGTAAGGAGAGGGTTCTTGAAGAGAAATTCTTCCTAAAAGTAAAATAAATCTATTTTATAGATGATACATGGAGAAACTTATCAGAGAAAAGCTACATTTCATCCAAAAATCAACAGAGTAAAACAATCAAAATATTCAAAATGCTGCAATAGTTTTTAATAGCATATGCAACTTATATTAAATTGCATTACAAAGGACAATTTTCATGCCTTGAGAGGCAACAATGTTTTTGTAGTCTTCAAAATTAATTTTTAACCCTTCAGTTTTAAGTTATATAGCTATTTGGTATTAAATTCTAACTGCTGAAAAAAAAGGATATCTTAAAAAAACTAGCAAATACTAAATGACAAACAACTTTCCCAGAATACTGTGTAATCTAAATGATTAGTGCGAAGTAAAAAAACAAATGCCACATGCTGCACTTGACCTGTTTTCGAAATAACTTGTAAACAATCTTTTAATTACATAATCTGAATTAGAATTTATAAGAGATTGCTTCCTGAAAGAAATACATGAGAAAGGTTTATTCATAATTCTATGAATTAAATATTCAATAAATATTTAATTGTTTAAATACAATTTAAATCCATTTTTTTTACAACAAATTTGCTATAAAAACAAAGAGAAAAACATTTATACAAAGTTAGTGTGTGTGTGTGTGTAACAGATGAAATATTCAGTTCCATTTGATCATATAGCCCAGAAAAATGACCCATGACGATCAAAAGATGTTTCAGTAACCTACATTAACATGTAACATATTAATGACCATTTTTTTTAAAGAATTTTTCAACAATTTCCTTTGTTGATGTACTTAACCCAATACTTCCTAGCAGAACATTAAAAAGGTAAAATTTCAGTTAACTGTATCAGGCTATGAACTTATTGGAAATAAATGTTATAAGATAAAGAATTCCTAGGATTTTGTTTAAACATTATAAATATCAAAATATGCAAGTGGGCAAGAAAAGGTGGCCTCTTCACACAAAAGTTAAATTGTCTCCTTTTTCTATAAGTCACAAATCATCAGCAATTCTTTGATTTTCAAAATGCAAAAGACATGACAGGTATGTAAATAATTTAAGTTAAAGAATAAAATACATGAAGTTTTTGCATTTATTGGAAAGTTATTTTATGTAAATTGAACTGAAGCAATGAAATACTGTTAATTCATTATGAAATTATAACAGAGTAAAGAATAAAAAGCATAAAACAAAAAGTATTAACTCAATAATATAAATACCTCAAGCCTAACAATATTCTATAAAAATAGAACTTAACTAAATAATTATTTTAATGCATAGCAAGTAATGATATAAAGTATTTGATTTAGCTTGAATCTGAATTTCTTGTAGGTAAAAACCAATTCATCCCTGTATAAGAATCCAGTAAGAAGTTTATTCTTTATGCAAATATTCAAACATTTTTTGTAGTGAAGTGATAACTGTTTTTGGCAACACCAAAAAGTCATTGCGTATATCTCAATATCTTTAAGTGAAACTAGCAAACTAGTTGATGAAGCAAATAGAGATTCAGCTTTAAAAAGCCACTTGAGGCTTATTTTGACATAAAGGCAATTGAAGACTAAAGAGTAAAATTTTCAACTAGATTTGAATTGTGAAACTACCTTTTCCAAATCACAATAAGGAAAGGTTACTTTAGTGAAAATAAATAAAATTCCAATCTCTCAAACAAAGCATTTAAATTGAAAATCTTAAAATTAAATTGCAGATTAAAAAAAAAAAAGAAAAGAAATTTAGAAAATAACTTCCTTGAATAGGGGACTTAAGATATTTATCATAGAAATTTAAGTGAATCAATTATCCTAATGTTTTTTTTTTATTGATTATATAGAAATTTTAGGTTTTAAAAAGGCAAATAAATTCCATTCTCCGAGTTTATAAAAAGATTAATTGCTTTTAGTTTTGCAAGTTATATATATATGTGTGTGTGTGTGTGTGTATATTTGTGCAGCAATCCTTCTTTTATATAAGTTTCATTAAAAATGACCGACAAGCGACTGCAGTTTTTTTTTTTATTTAATTTTTTTTGTGCTCTTATAATTTTCTTCTTTTCTCAGCGTAAATTATGTAGAAATAGTCCAAATGTTTTGTATGCCCAACTGCTTTCCTGATCAATCCATATTCATAAATAATTATACTGGGTATACTACAACATGCCTAACAAGACTCACGTTACATTTCTCTGACCATAGATGAAGTAGGCCTCATTTAAATACACATGGAGACCTACCAAAACTTCATTCACAACATATTCATTGATAATACAAATATAATAGCCTCACCCACATCTGCAAAAAAAAAAAAAAAAAAAAAGGGCTAAAAATAACGAAGCGTTATTAATAAAAAAAAGTCAACACTCAATAACATCAATTATGAACATGGCTGCAATGTGTTGTGTTTGTAAAATAAAACATTTCTATAACTCTAGATACATACATAAAACAACCCATAAATTCAATTAAAAGTAAAAAAATCCTTAATAATGCCTAAAAGTATAGCCAAAAGCACTGACATACAAAACATTTGGGCAATTTCTACATCATTTATGCCCAGAAAAAAAAAAATTAAAAAAAACCTTGTCAGTCATTTTTAATGAAACTTGTGTGTGTTTATATATATATATATATATATATATATATATATAAATCTCCAACAGAAAACCATTAAGTGGTTGAGCAAGTTTTGTAAGATTTTCTTTGAACATTTTAAGAACTGCTGTCATCATACAAAGTAATTATAAATTAAAGTTGTCAATTCATTAATCAGAATTTATAGCCACATATAATAGTAAACATTGTATTTTTGACCTATCCCTATCAAAATTGACATGTGCCTTTCGAATGTCATGTCTCTCTACAGATTTTTTTTCTTTTTTATCTGTTAATAGCTACAACTTCTGAGGAAAGATAGTGAAGCAGTTTCCTATTGCCTCCTATATTGTTTTCAATTCAGAGTGGCCCAGTGGACCTATCACAACTTAAATTTTAAGAATGGAAACATGCCTTTCAGAAAATATGGTTCTGTATAGAATTGAAATTAAAATGCATTCAATGATTAAAAAGATAGACATTTTAAAATTAAAAAGCAAGTCATGGAAGTTAGTTAATTTTTTATACCTGGTTTCATTTTAATCAACATTCGGTTAAGTCTGTCTATATTTCTGAGAGAGGAGGTATATTTTTAACTATTTACATCGTTTAGACTATTGTCCTCATCCTTATTGCCATACTCATGTTTCGGCCATTGTATATTTCAACCTTCTTTGGAATTTTTAAGCCAAACACTTTATTTAGTCCACAGAAGTAGAATATTCTAATTCCAAATACCATGTCTTTGGATTTATCAGTTTTAATTAATTTGCCTTAATAACTCTCCAAACTCTCTCTATAAGTCTCAAAAATTCACAAAGACACATGGCCCAGTGGATAAAAGCATTGGTTAAGTGATCTAAAAAGTGATGTGATCTAAAGAGTTGTGAGTTCAACACCTGGCCAGAGTAGGGGGGGGGCATAAACTTGAAGAGTTACAAAAGGAAATTAACGGAGTTATCTAAAAAAAGAAAAAAAAAAAAAAGGTATGGCATGTGGAATTAGAACAGTCTACCTCTGTGGACTAAAAGGGTTCCGTTTGAAAATTCCAACATATATCACCTGAAGGCTGGAGTGTACAAAGGCTGAAACATCCTAAATATGGCAATAAAGATGAGGAGAACAGTTCAAACGATGTAAATAGTTTCAATTAAGTCTTGATAAGACCATAGTAGGAATTATGGAAGGAAACAAAATCCCATTAGGATGGCAGGGTTGTTTTTGTACAAAGGTGAGTCACATAGCAAAATATCTCCACTCACTTCTTTCAACTGACATCTGCATGTATTTTCTTTTTTGTTATTTAAAAATAGGATTAAAAAAATTATGCAAGAGGTTCTTCTTTTAAAGTGCATTTACAAGAAATCAGAACAATGTAGAGAGCGAGAGAGAGATATAGTGAAAAATAGTGACATCAGCACTTGTTCCAAGAATAATGTCTAAGAATGAGTATTACAGGTGTATAATGTTGACTGATTGATCAGTGGACATAAAAAAAATTGTTTCTGGAAGCCGTATTTTGTTTTTGGGTAATAAAGAAAAACAAGAGAACTTTTTTTTTTTTTTTTTACCTTGCAGTTACTGCACCTCTTTCCTTGAAGACACAGCAGTCTTGGAACTTTAATAAAAAAAAATTTTTAAGTTTTTTTGTTTCCAGTTGTTGAAGATAAACTACAGGACAAAGAGAAAAATGTCAAAGAATAAGACAAATAAATAAAATAAATCAAAATAAAGAAAAAAATGTTTGATGGTAAACAAATAAATTCAAAATAAAGTCTAAACTTTGGACAATCAACAAACTAAACAAATGATTTACTGTAAATTCACAAGATGTGGATTTTCTTTATTCTTTGTTTAATTTTCTTAATGATTTTTTTTTACTGCTGCCGTAAGAATTGTACGTGCGTCAGTTTTAGATCATCTGTTGTACAGCAGTTTTTTGTTTGTTTTTTTTTTTGTTTTGTTAATATCCATTTTCACAGAATTGGATAAGTCTTTCTTTTATTTAAAATGTTCAGTTTTTTTGTCCCAAATAATGGAGAAGTGAAATGGAGAGAGAGAGAGAGAGAGAGAGAAAAAAAAAAAAAAAGAAGAAAGAAAAAAATGACTTTTTTAATCTTAAAGAGAAAAGAAATTTATACAGCAACACAGCCAAAGAATCGATGAATTAAAAAAGTTTGGAGGGGTGGGGAAGTCATATCTGATGGACAAGGAAGGAAATTGCCTGGTCCCCCCCCCAAGGTTTGTTGGAATTTTTTCCAGATGCTTTTTTTTCTTTTCTTTAAACACTTTAACAACAAAGAAAGGGAATAAGTTTGTAATAGTTGATATCTCTTTCCAATACAATATTGCAAAAATTAAAACATTAACATGGAGAAAGTTGGGGGAGGGGCAGCTGATATTTGTCCAAAAGAGGATATGGAGAAAGAAAAACTTATTGACTAAACAAAATATCAAACTTCCATTTTTATCTACTAATGAGAAAACAAAAATGCTAGTTTTGATTTTATTATGTGTACACTACATAATCTGTGAAACATCAACTCTAGTGTACGCACAATAAGTTTAAATTAAATGACAAGAAAAAGGTTATATAAATTTTAACAAAGAAAAAAATAAAAATGAAAAAAATCTCATCACTTCGAAAATAATGCTAATGAGATTTAAAAAAAAAAAAACAACATTTTAATAACCTTACAAATTAATTTGGGGTTTATTTTAAAAAGGAAGAGAGAATATTTCTTTTTTGGGCTGTCATTATGAAGAAAATCCCAGCAAGGATTTTTTTTTTTTTTTTGCAAGATAGATTTAAAAAGACTGATTACAACGAAGGATTAATTAAACAAATTTAAATTATCATGCAATGACTTCTGATGTGGTATTGTTGTTGTTGTTGTTAAGTATCTTCCCTCTCCCTACACCTCCATAAAATCCTCTAGTTCCATCAGGACCCTTAGGAAATCTTACTACCATCCCCATATCAAGCATGCGGACCCTTCGGAGCATCAGAGGACTACCCCGGGGACTACGACCAGAATTATTTTTATCATCGTTCAATGGAATGCTATTATTAGCTTGTTGTTGCTGGGCGGCCTTTAATCGGCGCTGGACCCAAGGACTAGCCGGAGTATCAGAGTTCTCATATCTTTTTCGGATAGACTCCGGACTGATCTGTGGGCTAACGCGAGGACTAATCCGCGGACTGTTGTTGTCAGTTTCAGCAAGGGGGGACTTCTTCGTAATCCATTTCCGACGTGGTGTCCTCGGGCTGCTCAAAGGGCTGGACCTGGGGCTTGATTTGGGAGTGGTGGCTGGACTAAGTTTGTTGGGATCAAGAGAGGACATTGGGGCAAGAGACGACTGAGGAGTGTCTGCTTCAGAGCCACTACTGTAGCATGATGATTCGTTTTCACGAGAAAGTTCATCAATACGTTTCTTCTTTCGACCACCCTTCTTCTTCCTCCTGTCAATTTCCAATCGATTGTCTTTATCACCATTTCCGTTGTTATTGCTGTTATTAGAATTAGATTTTTTCTTTTCTTTTTCTTTCTTTTTAGCTGACAATGGGACAACCCTCATACCTTTCCGCCAGTCGTCAGTGTTGTTCATAGTAGAGCAAGCCAACTTGGCAGCTTCATAAGTTTCAAACTCGACAACGGCACATAACGTGGTGCCGATCTCTGGGTGCTTGGACGAATATTTTTTAACATCGGGCGGAATAGAACCCTTGGGTCTCAGAATTCGAATCAAAGTTATGGTCCCACACTTGGAAAACAGTTCAGCAACACTTTCGATGGCTGGGTTTTCAATTGGAAGATTGACGACAACTACACTGCGAGAAGGTGTGGTCTCATCATACTCAGGTAATGGATCGACGCGACGGACTTTGGTACCCTCATCGTTTACTTCCAGTTTGCTGGAGGCACTCCGCAAACTGAAGGCCACCACACGATAGTCTTTAGAGAGGGACTTCACTTTACGGAAAGAGGTGATCAGCTTCAAACTTACATAGCCCTGTTTGTTGCGACGAACGTGTTTCAGTAGGAAGGCATCTTTCAGTATGTTGGCATCAGAGAAATAAAATTCCACCTGCTTGATGATTTTATCTTGTAGTTCCTTGTCAGGTTCGACGAATTCTGGTAATTTATCCCTTTCGTCGGCATCATCAGACAGCTCAGGGTGACTCAACCCTTCCTCCTCACTGGTGTAGTTCATTATCACCGTGGACGATCCCCCGCCGCCGTCCTCCTCACGCAATTGTTCCACACGGAGAACGGGGGCGGGTCCGACAAGGTTGACCGACACCGGTAATTGGGGGTCGGGCTGAGAAGCTTTCTGAGATTCTATTTCTAAAGACGGTTGATGATTTTCCAACTGTAGAGAGGCTGGGTGAAGTGAAGGGGGAGCCGGAGTTTCGACCGGAGATGAGGATGCGGATGATGGTGATGAGGATGATAGCTGATCATAGGTATTCAGATTCGGCGGTACGCTTCCATCATTCACTGTCACAGTTATCCTGTTCGTGGAATCAACGATTTCACCATTTTCGGATTGCTGCTGAGATATTTTATCGGTTTTGTTTTGCGCATTAATGTCGTCAACATTACTTTCGTTGTCCGCTTTCATTTGGTCAGCATCAGCAAACTGACCTACTTCAATGTCCGTACTACTATTGACTATTTTGACTTTTGAAAGCACTGTACTATTTTTACTATTACTACTTGTTACATTATCAGAGAAAATAGTGGTTGTAGCACCAGCAGCTGTGACGGTTTCAACAAGCCCATGTTCGGCCATGTGGTTATAGTTGCTCATAGTTGCGTAATTATTTATATTATTATTACTTTACTATCTTTTCATGTACTACTTGACGATAGTTATTATTACCTAGCAGCAAATGGTGCTTGTTGCACCAGCTCCGTGAAAAACTAATAATAGTACGTTTTGTAGGAATCTTGTTTTTCACTTTAAAAGTAGCGAAGGCTGGGCTGCTATCTTTTATTATCACCACTACTACTACTACTATAGTTCCTTACAGCCTAAGACCAGAGAAAGAGATGGCAGTAAGTAAACGGATTTAAAAGGATGTATTTAGCAGCAGCAGTTGGAGTAGTTATTTCTAGTTGTATAGTAAATTCGTATAGACAGCAGTCATGGATATATATATATATATATATATTATATATAATCAACAGCAGTAATGTATGTACTACAAAGTAGCAATAAACAACCGTGGAGAACGAAAGAGACGTCTTTCTTTCAAATGGCCGTCACGTCGGAAGGAAATCCAGGCACAGCAGTAACCAATATAAAAACCAAAGATTTAAAAACTGTCAAATCGCGTTGTTAATAACAATAATAGGCGGCGATACTTGAAGGTTAGAAATCAAAAATTCGGTTTTTTTGGTTTCATAGCTTTTCTCCGTTTCAGTTCTCCTTCCAGTGAGGTGCTCCTAGCTTTTTAGGGTATTTCCCCCACTTATCCTCCACGATGAAACTGGAAAACAGACAGACAGACCCAGGCCAGCCGTTTTGTTTTGCTTGAAAATCCAGCTCACAGTCGTACGAGCTAGCTGCTACCGCCCTGTTTTTTAGATTTTTTTTTAAATAAATAAATATATATACTGTCCCTTCCGGCCACGCTTGCTTGGCGAGTTGAATGATGAAAGTTCACAAGTCACTCCGGGCAACAAACCAGTCGTTTGAAGTGGCTAAAAGTGAAGTATTATAAGTTTCCAGACCACCACGAAAGCTGATGTACGTCGACTGGAATGACTTTCGGGTTTTCCTAACAGCCGCGTTGGTCTAACTCAGCAACTAAGACAAAACACAGCCACGATAAGGCCAGTAAATTATGACTACGGCTACCGCTCCTCGTACACCCTGCTAATCCCGCTGACTGTCTGCTGCTACTGTTACGGCGCCTACGTGCAGTCACGTGTCGTGACGTTTAGCACATATTGCTGTAACGTCATAGAAAACTGAGTAAATGTACACACACGCCTACACATACGATGACTTCGTATCACATGACGTTTAACGCTTTTGGGCCGTGACGTCACACTTGTCTTTGTTCGCTTTTTGTTTTCTTTTCTATTCTATTATTTAAAAAAAAAATATAACTAAAAAACATTTTCCTTTTTCTTTTTTTTTGTAATTCTCAGGTGATAAAAATATTTCTTTTTTTTTTCTATAAATGCGAGAAACTAACTAATTTAATAATTTTACTTTGAATAATAATATTTTTAAAACTAAACGCTGTCGACAAGTTCTTCTTACGGTTGCAGCCAATTGGAAAATCTGTCGATTCGTGTGAGTTAACAAAAGCAAGTCTTAAATTACATCCGATATGTCAAGTAAGTGAAGTTCAGTGCTCTAACATATAATCACAAAAAAATTTAAAATTAAATAAAAAAATTGTAATAAGTCATTAGAATCCATTTAAAAAATATAATTTCACCAGCATTGATACTTAAAGAAATTAAAATCAAATAAGAATGCTTTAAAACAGGATCTTATTTAATATGAGTGGGGTGGATATTGAAAAATAAAATACTTATAAAAATGACAAGGTGTAACTGAACTAACACATTGTACACACGTTTAAAACTTAAAATGTAAACATTTTATTGTATTTTTTAATCGAAAATTGCTCTTAAAAATAAATCTTATTCAAAATTGTAAACATATCTTTCTTGGTTGGTTGATCGTTATTAAATTACATGTCTCTTATAATCACCAGTATGTGAATGATTATAGCGTAAAAAATGCAACCCACAACTACACTATGGGAGCCATGTGCGCGTTACGTTTCTCCCACAAACTGGTGACGTCAACCGGCACGTGGAACTTGTGTAGTCACTTTGGACAAGTTTTTAGTGGAAAATCCTGTGATGTGTAAAAGGCTTTTTACGTTTTCTTTTCTTCCTCGCATGTCACTTTAAGAAGGAAACTGATGCAATCTTCTGGGCGTTTTTCTCATTAGTTTTCGCTGTTTCAGTGAATGACTCTACTGACAAATAAACATTCTCTCCTCACGATTCAAACATTTTTTGCCGTGATCAACAAAGAAAGTTGATTCGGTAAACATCCGGTGATAACAAACCAACTGAAACAAAAAAAATGGCTTTTAGTTTTATGGGGATAAAGAAAAAATACGGTACGGGCAATGCCGCAATAGTGTAGAACAAAAATGTAAATAGTTATGATACATGCATAAATTAGTAGTAAAAAATTAAATTGTTATTGTTTTATTTTCCATATTTTAGAATAAAAAAAAAAAAAAAAAAAAAAAAAGTAGAAATTTCAATATTTTATTAAATTACGTTAAAAAGTTAAAAACAAAACAAAAAAACAGGAAATCATTTTGAACTAAGGAAAGAAAATTCATTTCAAATTTCCTTAACTCAAATGATATCTCATTTCTTAAGGAAGTGAGTATTTTTTACAGTTGATGATTATTATTGAAAAATTGTTTATTTATTTTTTTTAATAAGTACTTATAAATGAATATTTAAAACTTAAAAGGTTTGTCCTTTAATGACGTAAAGACATTCATCCGGAATTATCATGTGTACAGACGCTTTTAATTTCAATTTACCACGTGGTGGATTTCGAAAGTACGCTGTCTAAGGCGCGAAGGCTACCGTGATAAGCTGATGACTCCCACGCATAAGACACCACCAAGTCAACAATAAGAGTTGTGGAAGATCTCATCTCATTTATATTACAAGAGGCCATACTGTTCAGCGTTACGTGTGTCTCATGAGTTCATTTCCTTTTTTATTGCCTCTCAGACATAATCGAAAATTATGTTTTTATTTAAACAAATTCGATTTTCTAAAATTATATTTGTTATTGAAATTAACGAAAAATAATATTTTCTAAATTCGTTTGAAATCTATTTTTTTTTAAACTCTGTTCTCATTCTTCGTTTACTTGTGACAAAAAACGAACTATGAATGTAGCAAAACAAATTCTTCTTGAGAAAATGCCTGTAATTAGCTTTAGTTTAGAATAGATTCAATCTGCTAGCTATATTCACGTTTGCATCAGTAAAACTATCCCAATTACTTTTTTTTAGTCAATGAGCAACAGCCATGTGTTTTACTGCCACCAGTTTTAATTTAGGTAAATTTTAGTTTTATACTACAGACAAGGTTTGTTTTTAAACCTTTTTGATTTTTAGTTACAATATCTACTACGAAAACAATAAAATAAAATAAAAATGAAAACTTGCTATATTAGAAGTAGAACGTTTACATGCAGGTAGTATGGACATAGACAGGGCCAGTGCAAAGATCTCCATATCCCCCACTCCAGAATCTATGATAGGGGCCCCACTCATCTATATTTTCGTAAGGTAATATTCATATAAAATACAAATTTTATTGTAACCTAATTATGTTCAATAATGGACATTAGCGTGCAGAAGGAGGTGGGGCACAGAGTATGACGGACCGGAACATCCATATTAGGTGGGGGCATCCAATCAAAGAGTGAAATAAAAATTTAGTTTTTGAAATTTGCAATTGTCTCTGTTAACTTCGTTGTACAAGCGCCCTACAGTCCCACAAGTGAATGTGGATCTGTGTTTTGATAAAAGGGGACCAGAGTATTCCCCTGCTCCTACTTGAGTCTTAGGAGCATACAATCAAAGAACTGACTCTGGCCATCATTGATTGTATACTCCTAAGACGTGAATCCGTTTCAGTTGTGCTTAGTTTAATTTGTAACGTATATAAATGTAGGCAGAAAAAAAAATATTGATAAGATAGCGAGGGTTACAAATCGCTGCCCGGGCACGCAATTGGCCTTGCCCGTCCCCCGGTCGGGAGATTCGGCGGTAGTACGCACCGGCCCTGGACATAGAAATCAATGTTGCATGGTGACTGTCAATTTCACACTTCAATTCGATCTGCTTGGTCTGTCAGTCACCCTGCAATGCTGGTACCCCCTCTCTCCTCTTCACACACACACACACTTTCTCTCTCTCTCTCTCTCTCTCTCTCTCTCTATGAGTTTAAAATATCGATTAACTCTAACACAATGATTAAATAAGGGACAAAAAAGAAAATTACTTACATTTTTCGGACTGTCACCCTCATCTTTTTTTACCTATCCATAACGCTTTGGCTATTGTACACTCCGGTCTTCTTCAGGTCTTTGAAATTTCGAACCGAACCCTTTATTTCGTCCACCGAGGTAGATTGTTCTAGTTCCACGTGCCATTCCTCTTCCGGATGTTTCAGTTATTTCCCTTTAACTCAACTCTCCAAGTTTTGGTTCACTACTGCCGGTATTCAACTCACAACTCTTTGGGTATAGTCACTTTATCTAATCAATATCTTTATCCACTGGACATCTGTGTATTCATTTTTGGAACTTATAAACCTAATGTCTCAGCACTCATTTTTTACTAGAGCTTATATTGCAATTTTTGTTGTTATTCATTGCTTTTCTCTAGCACTCCTTATTACTGGTTCCCATTTTAGATTCATATCTATGCTTGGTCGGCTCAGGAGGTTTTTGTGGCCAAACATATGTGCTGATTCCTTAAGTTTTCGTATTTTCCATTGATGTTCTCTGTTTATTATTTCAACCTCATCCCTCGCGGTGATCTCCCTTTTCCTTCCATATGTGGTCAGCTACGTCTGGTTTTTCGATTTCGCTTTGTGTTACCACTTTACGATGTTCTTGCAGTCTTATCTTAAAGGGGAGCCTTGTTTCTCCTTTGTATTTCCTACCACAGCTACACGGGATGACGTACACACAGTCATGTTCTCCTCTGTGGAGAG